TATATCCAAACTTAAACCCTCTCTTAACACCCAAGGCAACTCGATCCCCCTTCACCTTCTTCAATACACCGCCATTCTCATTTAATTCCGTCATCTAAACTTCCTACTCCCCTCACATCTAATTTAACACCCTGTAATATATGCTTGTATTTAAAACCTCGTGTATATAAATTAACTCAAATAATCTGAAGATGTCTTATTTAAGTTAAAGACGAAACGTTAATAATAAATCCTTCTCTATTTTATTATTGTGATGGCTTTTTTAAAAGTCTTTTGTTGGGCTATTATGTTCATATTGAAAATTATCTAAAATCTACGGAATATTGAAAGTTATCTTTGTCTACTAGACTAACGTTCTAAAAGTCTTATAATGAAGCATTCCTTTTGAACTAATGTTAGAGAGAGCAAATCTTTTTTCTACCTTTAAAACAAGAATTGCAGCTCAAAATGATTGATAAAGAAAATTAAACATTAGTACAGGAATATTACATTTCTGCTAATGATTTAAACTTATATACACTATGTCTAGTCATAAAAGAGTATCTTTCATTTGTATTTTAGTGCTTTTGTTTATCAAAATATTTAATTTTAATATATAAATATTTGTCGCTTCATGGCAAGCGTGACTTACGGCTAAATGGTACGATTTGATAAGCTTAGAAACATTTTTGGAGATCCATTATATTCCTGTAATAGACCACGGTCCAAAACGCAGAATTTTACACTCAAATGTGAACAAACTTTGTAATGAAAACAGCAAAACCCAAACCAAACGCAAATAAAAAACTATTTACGAATGTGACTCGAAGAAAAAACACTTAAAAACTGTTAAACTAAATATCCAGACGATACAATTTGAAACGATTTATTTTTATGGACAAAACATGAAAATTGAAAGCCAACCGGTAAAAATACAGCAAAGACGAGAAAAAATGCAAGCTTCGTTTCAAGTTAAATAATGCCATATAATAAAGCTTTTAATAACCTCACTTTCTCGTACTTTAATGAGAAATATCAGACCTGATACAAAAGACGTCGGTCCGATATTTCTCTGTAAAGACCTCGCATTCGGATATTAAGCTCTTAATAATTTAGTTATAAAGTGTTTACGTATTTAAATGTTTTATAAATTACTTTTGTGTACTTTATCATTTTGAAAATTTCTACTTCATATGCCCCTGGTGGAAATTAACGTAATTTGATGAGGTAGCTAAACGTCTTTGAATAAATATTTCATTAATCTATCCAAATTTGCATAATTTTAACAAAAGAAGTCCAGTTTTCGAATACACACACGTGTTATGAATTAGCCAACATAGATTCAAATGCACATGTTTACAAGTTATAACCAATAGAAGTCCAGGTTTTAAGCATCATTGTTGTGATAGAACGCCCAACGGGCGATAGTTATTAAATGACATTCTCAAGTACAGTAAGAATAAATATACTTCAACTCTTTTTAAACAAAAGGTATGTTGAGTTTTCAATATTATTATAAGAGATAAGTGCTTTGATTGTAAGTAAACACAATGTCTGTAAATCGTAGACAACAGGTAACTTCCAGAAAAAAACGCGAGGATGAACACTTGTAACTGAAGCAACTTGACACAAATTACCAAAGAACGAGGTAAGACACTCAGATTTCGGACACTGTCGATCAGGATCATCAACGCAATCCAACGTAAAACAAATTTCACCAGAACGTGAGCCAATAATAAACGTCTTAACAATGTAATCAAACGGACAAGCTGTGGTAACAGCAATAAGTTTTCCGTCAGGAGAATAACTGATATCACTAAGCAAATAATAGTAATTGTGATGTTTTGGGTGAACAGCTAACCTTTTTCGATAGGCAAATTGGAAATTTTCAGAATTGTCGGAAAGATTTAAAACGCGCCACACACAAAACAGCCCGTAACGATCACATATTGCAAATTCCCCACGGCCAAATGCAGGATTGTAGCAGCATTTTTTAACTGCTGAATAATAATCGTAAACACGAACACATTGTAGTAGTTTTAAACTGTCAGCGTCAAAATAGAACAGTTCACCATCAGTGCTTCCTGCCAAAAGACGGCTGGCATCAGGAGATAGAGCCAAACAACTAAAGCCATCAGCACGATACTGCGCCCGCAAATGTAAATAATCTTCAACAGCACTTTCATTCCCACTTTCACGTCTTTCTTTTAACACTTGCTCGTCACGGTCATTCAACTCAAGATCCGTATTAAGTATAGGACAACCTAACTGAATGCAATCAACTCCACTATATTCAACTTTAAGATCAATCCATTGGTCGGGTCCGTCTTTTATAGAATCTTCTACGTTCCACAAACCGTCCGGTAGTTTATACACACGACACCAAAAGCGGTACAAGTAAAGGGGAAATTCAGGATCCAAACAAATAGTTACGGCAATTCTCCTTCCATCTGGGAAGAACATAAGTTGAGAAGTGCGAGCATAAACACAGTTTAGGCAATATACCGGTTTAGGTAACTTGCCGACCTCATTAGCTGGAGTGGCAAAAACAATCAAAACAAAATTGATAATATAACGTGGCGGACGACAAAAGAACGCTGCACTTGCAGCTATTAAAGAACCGTCCCAAGAGACGGCCCATTTTGTATCAGGGTTAAAACCTAACACTTTTTTTTTCGAGCTCTTTTCAAATTTTATATCCATGAATTTCTTGACATCAGATTTGAAATCTTCACTTATAAGTCCTAGTGTATCGCTCTTGAAGCTGTACAAAAAACTTTTCATTGATGGTAAATAACACAAACAACGTATCGCCATATGTGTTTCAATGTTAACAACATGTGATGGTGGAATACCGTCTAGTTTCTAAATAAAAAAAGGAATGTTTTAATCGTAATGTGAAAAGCTCACCAGAAGATCAATACTTGAAATATTTTATTATTTATACCTCGCTCATACATATCTCATATTCAGGAAGGCTGGGAGATGACGAACGTTCAGATTCTTCATCAGATGAATTGGAAGACATCGCGCAACTCTTTTTCAAAACCTAGAAAAAATCGATTCTATTTCAAAATCGCTACCATTCTCCTCTCGGAAGCATGATTTTGCGAAAGAGTTTGGACACAGGAAGTAAAATTGTCTAGTGTCCGCCATTTTTTGTTATAAAAATAAGCAAATATCTAGCAAATATAGAGAATTGAATGGTGAAAAGACAAATTTTCCGTTTTGTTTTCTTATTCATGAATAGACAGCGATATGGTTTACTTCAAAATCGGAAAATCATCAAGCTACGTTCTTAGATAACTGGCGCTCGACCTTTTACCCTCAACTATTTAACTGAAGCTAATTTTCCAGAGTTCTGGAGATAAAACAAGTCAATAAGCGGAGCTTTTAGTGCAAAATATTCCCCCGTTCAACGTTTCGCAAGTCACCATTACACATTAAAACAAAAGCATTTGAAATAGTGAATAGTTTAAAATCCAATTGGTAAAATATTCTCTAGAAGTTGTCAACGAACAAGCGTCATTTTTAAGTTATCTCGAAAATAAAATAGGCTGTTGTGTTGTATTGATTGTTTTAGCTTTGCTATACTTCCCTTTAACACGATGAAAACAGCTAATATTCACACTTACCAGAATAAATATTGTCAGAGCACGTTTCAATGAAGACGACATGAAACTAAATGAATTTAACGACCACGAGGTCGAAAAGGTCTGACGTCTGAATCTATTCTTTCCACTAACATGTATCCCAGAAGTCATCATTAATATTTAAAATTCAATTACCAGTGTGATTATGGAAAATACCCATATACTTCATGATATAAGTTTTAGTATTCCCTTATATATCCTTGAAATATGCAGTAAGATTTTAGTTTATTATATTTTATACAAAAACCACTCTATATCACGGTCAAAAACGAAGTTAAATGAAACTTCATTAATGTAAACTCAAGTCCATTGCTGTAGAAACGGATTATTGGGGACAATGGACGTTCCGTATAGGCCGATGTCATTAGCACTTAAGGGTATAAAAAATTTGATATTGGCAAATTTTGATAATTCTTGTAAAATCCGTAGTTAAGTCTTGATCTTAGCTTATATCTGCTCGTTGACGGTCTTATAACTATATCTAACAGCATTGATATTTTGTATTTCTGGTCCATTCATGTTCTTTGCGTTGCGTGCATTCATTCTTATCAATTAATATATTATCCGAATTACACACCCCACCCCATTCACTTTCTACGCCTAATTAAACAATTCAATGACCTTGTCAGCAGTAAAGATTGACAAAACAATAAACTGAATCTATCTCAACTTCATCTACAGTGGCACTAAGTCAAACTCAATGCATTCTACAGCTGTTTTGCGAGTTCGTTCCCTGGTCAAAATAAAATTAGCTTGCGAATGTGAGATGAGTTTATGAGCTTTGCTTGCATTTTTCTCCGGCTGCTCCAGTTTTCTTCCTCTGGGAAATTTTGTAAAAGGGTTGATATTTACAGAAAGTATGGCGTTCAGGAGAACCGTTATAAAAGGTTCTTCTGAGGTTAAAACAGCGTAGACGAGGTTAATATGAATTCATTGTTCGTATACCGGAGTATTTAAATTTATTACTCCTTAAAAAATAACGTTTTGGCTGCGTTTACACTATACCGGATTTGCTCATCACGACATCTTCATTTGCTTTAAAAGGATAACTGTTCGGAGTAAAAGCTTATTAAGCGGATAGATTTAGTCTATTTGATCGTGTTTCTGACGCTGAACAATTTTACTGCCTTTTAATATAAAGAATATTCAACCTGCTGCGATAGCAATCCGGTATATTGTAAACGGAGCCTTAATGAAGACGTGTCAAAAAAAAGCATGGAAAAATGTCGTCGTTTTATATTCGCGTATTGCGTAATGATGGGTATTACCATTATGTGCCAAGTAAGGACTAGCCTCCCACCCTCCGCCAGCAATTAAAGTTTTTCAAGGGCTGCACTGAAATAGTTCTCTTTCATTTAAAAAACATTGTTTGTATGGAAGCTTTTTTATATTGGCAAAAATCATCTATTATATTGCTGTCTCTCTCAAGCCATGAATTCCATGCTTCTTTCTTGCAACAAGAATCTTTTGCTCTTTAACAAACAAAACAAAATTTTGCTGGTTTTACTTTCCTTTCATAAATAAGAATGTATATATATTTTATATTTTACGCATATCTCTCTATTGCTCTCAATAAGCCGATAAAATGTCGAGTTTTTAAATTGACGGGTCATAGACTATAGCGCACCAGCCGTCGACTTTATATTGTTTTGCCAAGATTGTGTAATAAGGACGTCTCTCTATATCAACACCTTCCACAAAGCAACATCCGAAAAACCAACGGAAAACAGTTTATCTCCGGTCGGAGAAAATGTCACATGGCTAATAGAGTCACAATGCATATCGAAATCTTGAAAGCTACCTTTATCATAATCAATTACTTTCACTAGTCGATCTAAAACAAAAAGAAAATTACAGACAGCAAAAATACCTAATTAAGTGATTGTAAACTAAAGCATTGGGTGTCATTAATTCTCGAGGAAATAAAAGAAGCGCTGAAAAGAAATAAAAACTTTTAATGAGAATTTCACCTAGTGCTTTTTGATTCATATTTCCGACGTAGCTACGTCGATTTGGGACGTTTTTAGACTTAAACTATGTGGGATACGTAACCCTAAATTGTGATCTTAATTTTCTTCTCAGAAAACCATCGATAATCCAGTTTTACTAATGGAAGAAAACTAGATGAGAAAAATTGACATAAGTTGGAGTAGATAAAAAACTTTAACGATTTCAAACTATTATCTTTCAAGATATAGAAAGGATTTTCAAATCATTCAGTGTTGTTTTGCAGAACGTTGTAAAAACTTTTAATTTATACCTTTGGTTCCAACAGCAATTAAATGACCCTTAGGCGATATTTCCAAGCAAGAAGCCCATTGTGTCAACAAAATAGTTCGAAAAACCTGACAATGAACACATTTCCATCAATGATGGACATTTTGTCTGCTCCAAGCACAGACCTCTTACAAATACTGACCTTTCTCTGGGACAAGCTGTAGAATTGTATCAGTTTTCTCAGACCATAACCACTGTACACAATAACATCGGGCTCTGTTGGCGAGAATCTTGCCAAACTTGGCGGTAGATGCAAATACGCAGACTTCAAAGGGAGAAAACATGCTTATTTCAAACTTATTAAAACAGTTTTCCATAATAATTTATTTATCTTTCATTATCTTGAGCAACTACAATCAAGACAAGAAACAAACTACAATTTCTCACCGCATCGTCTTTTTTCAAAGCAATTCCTTCAGGTGTTATATTTGGAGCGGGAAAAGTTAACCAATCAACAAGCTCGCAGAAATCCTTCGACCAATCCGCCTTCCATACGCTAACCCTACGATCAGCGCTCGCAATAAGCCACAATCTGGGAGAATTGAATGATAGATGATCGTTCTAAAAACAAGGTTTTGATTATTAAAAAGCCCTTAATGACCCAGCGCGACGTCTTTACAGAGAAACAATGGACAGAAGTTTTTTTGTACAGACCGATCCCGTAAGGCGAGGTTGTACAAAAAAGACAGAGGTCTGATATTTCTCAGTAAAGACCGAGAAAGCGAGGTTATTAAATAGATTATTAGATGGCATTATTTGACCTGAAACGAAGCTTGCCTTCTCGTCCTTGCGGTTTTCACGAGTTGATTTTCCCTTTTCTAGTTTTCGTCCATAAAAAGTAAACTCGTTTCATAATTGTATCGTTTAGATAGTTTTCCAAGTGTTTTTTCTTCGAATTACATTCGTAAATGGTTTTTTGTTTCGTTTAGTTCGCGTTTTGCTGTTTGCTTTAAGATGTTTGTTTACATTTGACAGTAAAATTACGCGTTTTGGACCGTGGTCGATTACGGGAAAATAATGGACAGGCAAAAATGTTTCTGAGCCAATCAAAGCGCATCATTTAGCCGGAAGTGACACTTGCCGTATAATAATCATCATCAATAACCAGTAAGATGTTAAGTTTGGTAAATATTGCAAAAGTGCTTAAAAAATATTTTGAAGTAGGTTAAGACTTTTTATTCATAAAACAACATAAATAAACGTTTGCACTGATTGGTCTATAGCTGAGTTATTAGTTTTTGTGAACTGATCTGAGCTCAATTAATTAATCAATCAAAGAGGATTTGCATATCAATCATGAATACATGTTAAAGGAAAAATAAAAACAATTCTCTGAAACTTTCGCATTATTGCTATTTTAGATAAGAAATAAAAGATGTTTTTGTGTTGGCACAGGCTTATGCAAATCTTGGAGAGGCTCATGAGAACTCTCAAACAGGTGCACTGATCTGATCTCAAGTTCTCCCAAAGGACTCTTCCGTTTGCATAAGCTCGTACAAACACAGTAAAAATCTTTTATTTCTTACTCTGTTCTATTTGTTGCAGAGTGTTTGTCATTGTACCTTATGTGAAGCAATGTCCATATCAGTGATTGGTGCTCCCTTATGATCTTGGATCAAACGGACAGTGAGGCCAGTAGCAGGACTACTTATGGCTACCACACCATCTGTACTACCACTCATAAAAACACGACCTATACAACAAATTCATTTCTAAGGTACGTCAAAATTGTCAATGTTCAGTTTGACCACTAGAGTTGAACTACAATTAGACTCGATGATTTTCATAACCAAATAATCAAATAATCTACCATCCTAAGTTATACTTAACAAACCCAAGTTATAAAAACAACACAAGTCAACATCCACAAACCCATCTTATCCTCAAACATTCCAATATTCTTAAGCACACCAAGTCATCCTCAGCCATGACATTTTATACTTAAAAATCCCAAGTTATTTATAAGCTCCAAAGTTATCCTTAACAAGAGGACAACAGGGGGAAGATGAAGAACCAACCATAAGGTAGATACCACACATACCACTGTATACTAAACCACTTATAACACTGTGCTCTACAGGTAGATATCGCATACATCACAGTATACTATAGTTAGATACTAGAAATATCACTGTATATTATAGGTGGATAACACATATACCACTGTATACTATACCACTTATATCACTGTATACTATAGATAGATATCACATATACAGGTGGATACCACATATACCGTTGTATACTATAGGTAAATATCACATATATAGGTAGATACCACATATAGCACTGTATACGATAGGTAGATACAACATATAGCACTGTATACTATAGGTAGATACAAAATACATCACTGTATACTATAGATAGATATCACATATATCACTGTATATTACATATAGATACCACATATATCACTGAATACTACAGATAGATACCACATATATCACTGTATACTATAGATAGATACCACATAAATCACTGTATACTATAAGTAGATACAACATATACCACTGCATATTATAGGTAGATACCACATGAATTACTACATACTATAGGTAGATTCTGCGTGTATCAAGCAGCGACTGGTCCTTACCACAGGAAGAAAAATTGATAACAGTAACGCCCCCAGAATGAGGATCTATTTTCATAATCATTTCAACTCTTCCAAGATCAAAGAGTCTTACGGTTCCATCACCAAAACCAGCCACGCAATGTGATGGTCTTAATGGTTTCTCCACTGGTTCCATGTGAGGATGTACTGTGGCTATCACTTCACCATCTTGTAAGACATTATGTGTTGGTTCACGTGGAGGAGTTGGACAGAATGAAACACGCTTACAGCGCTATGGAGGAAATGAATTTTTAAACAACTGATAGTCAACATCAACGAAATTTTTAGAGATGAGTTACGTTTTGGTCCCGTGTAAGCGAAAGCTTTTATTTATAACATATACAAGCGGGCAAACGATCTCTTTATCTGTGATATATGAAGAGCCTGAGCGGGTTCAAAGAGAAATCTTTATTTGTGACATATGAAGAGCCTGAGCGGGTTCAAAGAGATCTCTTTATATGTGACATATGAAGAGCTTGAGGAGGTTCTAAGAGATATCTTTATCTGTGACACATGAAGAACCTGAGCAGGTTCAAAGAAATCTCTTTATCTGTGACATATGAAGATGCTGAGTTGGTTTAAAGAGATCTCTTTATCTGTGATGTATAAAGCGCCTGAGCAGGTTCAAAGAGATATCTTTATCTGTGACATATGAAGAGCTTGAGGAGGTTCAAAGAGATATCTTTATCTGTGACATATGAAGAGCTTGAGGAGGTTCAAAGAAATCTTATTATTGGGACATATGAAGATCCTGAGTAGGTTCAAAGAGATATCTTTATCTGTGACATATGAAGAGCTTGAGGAGGTTCAAAGAAATCTTATTATTGGGACGTATGAAGAACCTGAGCAGGTTTAAAGAGATCTCTTTATTTGTGACGCTTGAAGAGCCTGACGAGGTTCAGAGAGGTCTCTTTATCTGTGACATATGAAGAGACTGAGGAGGTTTAGAGAGATGCCTTTATCTGTGACATATGAAGAGCCTGAGCAGATTCAAAGAGACGCTCAAAATGATAGTTTGGTGGTGAACACAACTCTGTAAATTATATTATTTCAAAGCCTTGAGATCATAGCAAAATATCATGATTTAGCTAAGCGTTTATGGATAGTTGCATTTCAAGACGTCCATTTTAGTTTGCATCTTTTAAGCCGTAATATTGTTTCTAACTTACCAACAACATTAATAATAACAATGATAATATATTCAACCTATATAACTCAAAAGCACTAACTAGTAGTGTTGTGTGTCCTTGTGATAGAGAAAATTGACAGATGTAAACCTTTAACTACAAAAAACTAGGTCCACTCTTTCTGAGTAAAGACCTTGTCAATGAAGCTTTATTATGGGTCATTTGCACGAAAAGTAAAACTGTTTAAAAAATTTTCCTGACTGTTTAAAAATCTCTTGAAAAAGAAGAATATAAGATTTGTAGTGAGCAATCACTGAAATAAAATATTGCTTCCAAGATTACAAAATTTACTATCCAATGGATTACGCTATACGGGCTTCTTACAACCGGCCCCAGTTTTGAAAGTTGTGTCAACTCTCACCTTATTAATTACTGGAGGAAGCTCGCCTTGAATTCTCAACTATGCTTAAGACCTTACAGTGTAAGGCTTACACTAACATAAAAATATCAGAATTTATTTTGTAAAACAGAGCGATTTAAGAGCTCGTATTTCCCGACAATAGTTTTATATAAATAGCATATTTAATTTTGAATGACGACGAGAAACATGCTTCAATTCACCTGATCAACAACTTGAAATTGGAGCGTTTGTTCGAGGTCATCAGAAGTCCAGACTCTCAAGCTACCATCATCGGAGCAAGTCGCAAAGAATTTGTCATCAGGACCGCTGGCCACCAGTGAATTTATCTAAAACAATCACGTGGTTGAAGATGGTTTAAATCCCAATATTTTCACTGGGAGATTAACACAGTAAGTTACCTTCTCTGTATGACTGCTGACAAGACGAATAGACGTCCTCTCTGTCCAGTTAATGTACCATAACGTACCTCCAACTGTACCAACAATACCCTAAAGTACACACCACACAGCTCGAGGCAAGCAATTCACATGGAAAACATATTTTAGAAAATATCGAAAACCTAGTTTTCAAAAGGAAAATAGATTCTTCAATTTCTTCCCTTTTATTCACCATTCTTTAATCTTCCCACTGACGAAGTGTTACCATTTCCAAGGATGTGTCGAATGAAGCAGAAATCACTCCGGCGTCCAAAGACATTTTGTCTTCGATAACCAAACCATCTTGATTCAATCTGATAAAATATGGGATCAACTTTTGCAAAAACTGAAATCTAGAACGCGCTTCATCAACCCCGCTAACGCAAAGTTATCACAACACAATTGAACTATTTCGGCAATTCTAAGTTGAAAACTTTCCCCTTAGTGTCTGCGTGATAATTATCATGAAAAAAAAATAACTGAAAAGAAACATACACATCATTCTCTCCGGGCAATCTCATCTCTCCAACGCCTACAACAGACCAAAGACGAAGATGCCCCGATGAGCTTCCGGTAATCAGCGAGCCACGATGACAAACAATTACATCTACGAAGAAAGCAGATAACGACTGTAGAACATAAATTCAAAATGAATTTCCTAAAATTTATATCAGCATGACAAACTGAGTTGAAACCATGAATAATATGACAAAGAAAACAGATAATATAAATACATTTTCCTACCGATTTCAGAATCGTCAGAAAGCCAGTGCATAAAACACTTGTTTTGTCTTGTATCCCAAGCGGATATAATTCCTAGAAAATCAAAAAAAATCAGAAAAAAGAAAAATGATTTTCAAGAAAGAGACACGTAAAGTCAACAAATATTTTCAATCATTACAAACATGATTGTTTACTTCATGTAATATTAATGAGATGTGAGTATAATTGGGCGTGAGTTTTGACAAGGACTGGTGCGAGTTGCCACACAATAAGCAATAAAGAAGAAACGAAACCTCCTGTGACTTTGTATTAACATTTAAGTCAAGCTAAAAGAGCAAGGAAAATCTTTGGTAGCTACAGTCTTTTATAGTCTCCTTAAGAACAAAACATCAAAACCAAAGGATAAGGCGATAAGCCATTGATCTTTTATGCTTGAAAACAAATCTATTGGGTCCATAGATGATGGAGTGGACTGGAAATTTGCAATAAACCAAACCATTATTGTTTCAAACATACCAGCATTATTGCCTATATATAGCATATTATCACCAGCATAGCCGACACTTGTAAAATGTACCATGGAGTCATTCTGTCGACGAAAAAACAGAAAAATATCACAAAGACTCAGAAATTATAATGAAGCAAGTTTCAGATAAAAAGCGAAGAAAACCTGCTTTGAAGTGTATAACAAATCATCGGGAACTTTCCCTTCGCAAACCTAAAAAACGAAGGGTCATCCTTCATAAATCTGAAGAAAAAATGTGGAATCCCAAAACTGGAGATCAAATTATGAAATCATAAAAGTATTTTCAAAAATCTGCAATCTTGGAATTTAGTACTAAAATCTTAAATCTTAAAACTGGAATGAAGAAAACGCATATCAAAAATTAGAATCATTCAAACTTTTATAAATTGAAACGTCAATTGATAAAATATATATCAATATACGCACCAAACATACACTATCCACCCTATGTTACCTCATGAGTACTCACATTCAAGTTGAAAGATCCACGAGATTCTTCCAGTAACCAAAACAGCACGTGACCATCTTGTCCGACCGACACAAACTCGTTCATCGTACAAGGATCCCATGCGATGTCATGGATTGGAGTTTTAGTATAGGACGATGTGAGTACATTGTAGTCCTTAGTACCCCATATTACCACGGAACACTCCCTGTAATCTCCGACTGAGATCAGAAAACGATCGTCTCTTGAGAAATGAAGGCCAACAATCTCATAGGAGTGATATGTCAGCATCTGAATATAAATATGAATGCTCTAATTTATGTCTAAATGTAAAGATTAGAGACCAACAGATCGTCTTAAAGAAAACCATAAGTGGTTTAATTTATGATAGTCCGAAGAAATCTGAAGATGTGTCTGATTTCGTTAATGTCTGCAATTAGTCTGAACTCAGATTATGTGTTGAGTCAAGACGAAAGGTTTCTTTAATGAGCATTAAAAAATCAAACCGCTAATGGCTTTTTTGAAAACGTACTGTTGAGCTCTGATCATAATCTTGAGAATAGGATTCCCGCCTGGCACACTCGCTGGCAACAATATTCATGCTCAGATTAACATATAATAAAAGTTTTCGATAAATCAAGAAAAATTCAAAAATTACAGATTTACAAGATCTTTTATCTACGGCAGTAAAAAATATGTGTCATAGACACCATAAAACGTTTAAATATCCATCTACCCATTAGGGAAGATGGATATTTAACTCTACACCTAAATACTTACATAGCATGAACAAGCTTGCGAGCTGGCTACGCCCCTGCCTCTACACCTAAATAATTACATAGCATGAACAAGCTTGCGGGCTGGCTATACCACTGCCTCTACACCTAAATAATTACATAGCATGAACAAGCTTGCGGGCTGGCTACGCCCCTGCCTCTACACCTAAATAATTACATAGCATGAACAAGCTTGCGAGCTGGCTACGCCCCTGCCTCTACACCTAAATAATTACATAGTATGAACAAGCTTGCGGTCTGGCTACACCACTGCCTCTACACCTAAATAATTTTATAGCACGACCAAACTTGCAAGCTGGCTACACCACTGCCTCTACACCTAAATAATTACATAGCATGAACAAGCTTGCGAGCTGACTATGCCACTGCCTCTACCTTTTTACAATCACCAGATGCAATATCCCAGATACAAATGCATGACGCCACCGTCTTCGAGGACCCCCATGCCGAGGCAAGAACCTGAACATCGTGTTGAAGAGCTATCGTGGAAATCTCTTCAAAATGTTGCATGAGATGTTTTTGTTTGCCATCATGAAGATCTTCGATGATAACGATGCAGCCACTGGTATAAACGAACAAACCTGAATAGGGACAATTGTAACTGATCTCAATATATTAACATTCTGGTTTGTTGTTTAACATAGAAGCGTATCAAACTCGATAGTTGGGGAGCACCTATTCATTAACGAATTTTCTGTATTCCTGAAACGAAAACTGATTGAAACAAGTGTATTCGCAAGGAATTTGCGTTTGAAAGCCAATCCATTCAAAATTCAATTTGGGAAGAGGAGAGCTTTCCACCAAGCCCATTTTACGTGAGGATTTCGCATTTTAAACCAGTCCGTTCAAAATTTAAACAAAAGGGAAGACGTGCAACCAACCCCTCTTCTACTAAGCAAAGCAATTTTTTGAATCCGTATTTCAACAAAGTGCATCGTACTTCCACTTTTTACTAAGTAACAAATACATAAGAGATCCTGAGTATTTCATTTTATGTAGAAAAATCTTTTTCCGCTAAAGTTTAAAGGAATATGAAGGTGACCGGTGAGGTCAGACACTTAGTTTTCGAACACTGTCGATCAGGTTCATCAACGCAATCCAACGTATAACAAATTTCACCAGAACGCGAGCCAATAATTAACGTCTTAACAATATAATCAATCGAACATGCTTTGGTAACAGCAATAAGTTTCCCGCCAGGAGAATAACTTATACAATTCAGCCAACTATAGTAATCGTGATGTTGTGGATGAACAGTCAATCTTATGCTATGGGCTAATTGAAAATTATCAGAATTATCAGAAAGATTTATAATGTGCCACACGCAAAACAGCCCTTTGTATTTTTTGTTTTATTTCAACTTAAGTTTAAAATGCATTCTGGATCAACAAAGTCGATGTATTGACTCCACTCTTGGATACACAACTATATTTTTTTCTTCTTTATATTGCCTTATTTCTATATCTTCAGTTATTTAAAAGGCGAAATTGCTTACCAAATAACACATTTTAGTGCTTTATTTTTGCATGCATGCGTTTTAAACGAATTCCCTTCGTCATTTAAGACTTCTATTGACTAAGGCGTGATGAGTTATAATTTGAACGTTGTTTGAACAAAAAAAATCTGCAATCAAAGTGAAGGTTCTTTTAAACATATCCGGTGAATTACAATGCACTTATTTTGGCAAAAAATTGGTTCAGGATCCTCTGTTCTGACTTTATCATTGCGCGAGCTTTTATTATGGAAATCTGTTTTACTGCAAGCGAGCTCTGTTCATTTCGCGATTTTAAATCCAATAAATGACAATTGACATTTGTATTTGTTTTTAATTATGTAGTTGCTGCAATTATTATGCATAATCAAGTAATTAGCATTTACAAAAGTTTAATAAACGGGACAATTATACACTTCTGGGATTTAATAGTGTTTAAAGGTTTCGACAGTCTTAAAGCAAAACAAGATAAAAGTATTATCATTCACTGATTTATATCTCAAATTTATTCCGTCACTGCTCTATAAAGGTAAAGCAACATTAAATAAGTTATAACAGCCGTAAAAACGTTACTATATTTTTCATAACTTGCAAACAAAGATAGACAAGCACGTGCAACTTTAATCAGGCGGAACAAATAGCTAGAGAAGGCTAAATCATCTCATGCAGATTTCATTTTATGCACACATAATCATTGGTGCGAAATCTGTTTTTCTTTAGAACACACTGCATAATTCTGCTTTTCCAACAATGTTAATACCATCATTGAAACATATTCCTATGGACCATGGTAGAAGCTGGCTTATAATTTCGCTTCACCGCAGAATATAAACATTAGTTTACCTAACCGCCTGCTTTAAGTACACAGTGTCTATTTCATAAACATTCACAATGTACAATTACGAAAAGTTAGTTTACTCCAGAAAAGGGAAAATTACAAACGGACAATTAAGGAACGATCTTTCATGCCTGATACTTGACTTTTACCCTCGACACTCGACGATTACATCTGAAGATAGTTTCCCAGCGTTGTAAAGTTGAAATAAGTCAATAAGCAAAAAATATTGTGCAAAATATTCCACTATTCAACGCAAATAACTCATTATACGCATTAAAGTGCCATATACAAATCCTATTGAATTATCTTCTTTAGAAATTTCTGACGAACAAACAGATTTTTTTAAGGTGTCTCGAATATAAAATAGGATGGTGGTATTAAGTGATTATTTAGGCTTCTCCATTTCTCTTTAAAATGATAAACTGAACAACAAAAATTCACACTTACCCGAAAAAATGTTGTCAGAGAACGTTTCAATGAAGGCGACATTCAACCACAATGGCTCAAAGGCAACTGAATTTAAAGTTTAATCAACGACCATGAGGGAGAAGAACAGAGGAAGTGATCTGAGTCTATTCCATCCCATAATTCATTGCTATTCATGGAAAATATTCTTATATTTCCTGTTATCAGTTAAAGGATTTCTTTTACAACCATTTTCAAGATACTGTCCTCTCACTCCTTCGTTAACTGCGCATTTTAACCAATGTTTTAAAAAGTTAAATTAGTACGGACGTTTATCATTCAAAATTTATTACTTTGAGCTGACAGCTTTGAGTTTGACAAACTTTTCTTAAGTAAGGAAAAACATGTAGTTTTATCGCCGAAACCAAGACGCAAAAGAGAGGTGTCTTGTTTTTAAATTATCAAATTTTGAGATCATTTCAAATTGCGACCGCTAATTGATACATTCAGGCACGCGTGCATGCTATGTTTATAATCAATAACTATGCATCTTCCATTCGTTTGATGTACATCGCGATAAGCTTTTTCGTCAGACAACGAATTATAACGTCAAAACTTTATGTTACGCAGAACTTGGACTTGTAACATGCAGTTGTGTAACCATCGAAATAAAAATTACAGCCACAGAGTAAAAATAAAAAATTTCCATTTTCTTGTGTACAAGACTTAATGTTAGAAGAAGGCCTGTTACGATGTCAGAAATGTAAAGAGAAATATAGGATACATAGACATTTGTAGAGAAAAATTAATTTTTCTTTTTTTTTGTTTTTTTGATAAGGCTTTGACTATTAGAAATGTTTAAAGCAAGTCTTTTTTTTTAAGTTTTTCCTGATACACTCTTTATAATTTAATAACATCGTAATAAAGTGAATGTTTTGAGCCATGTTTTGACAAACAACGTTAACACCAACAGTCCTCTGATCTTCATATACACGGACGATCTACAACTACAATTATTTATAAACATCAATCCTTGGTATTTTTGCATTGTCAATAAAGTTTTACGATTGGTGATCGATGTTTTGTGACAAAACTTGGTGATGAGATAACTATCTAAAATCTACGGAATATTGCAAGTTATTTTTCTCTACTGCACTCACGTTCTAAAAGTCTTATAATGAAGCATTCCTTTTGAACTAATGTTAGAGAGAGCAAATCCCTTTTCTTCCTTTAAAACAAGAATTGCAGCTCAAAATGATTGATAAAGAAAATTAAACATTAGTAAAGGAATATTACATTTCTGTTAATGAATAAAACTTATATACACTATGTCTAGTCATAAAAGAGTATCTTTCATTTGTATTTTAGTGCTTTTGTTTATCAAAAATATTTAATTTTTAATATATAAATATTTGTCACTTCATGGCAAGCGTGACTTCCGGCTAAATGGTACGATTTGATAAGCTTAGAAACATTTTTGGAGATCCATTATATTCCTGTAATAGACCACGGTCCAAAACGCAGAATTTTACACTCAAATGTGAACAAACTTTGTAATGCAAACAGTAAAACGCAAACGAAACGCAAATAAAAAACTATTTACGAATGTGAATTCAAGAAAAAACACTTAAAAAACTGTTTAACTAAATATCCAGACGATACAATTTGAAACGATTTATTTTTTATGGACAAAAACATGAAAAATGAAAGCCAACCTGTGAAAATAAAGAAAAGACGAGAAAAAAAGCAAGCTTCGTTTCAAGTAAATAAATGCCATTTAATAAATCTTTTAATAACCTCACTTTCTCGGACTTTACTGAGAAATATCAGACCTGACACAAAGACCTCGGTCCGATATTTCTCTGTAAAGACATCGCATTCGGATACTAAGTGCTTAAAATATCAGTTATTAAGTGTTTACGTATTTAAGTGTTTTATAAATCACTTTTATGTACTTTATATCACTTTGAAAATTTCTACTTCATATGCCCCAGGTGGAAATTAACGTAATTTGATGAGGTAGCTAAACGTCTTTGAATAAATATTTCATTTATATATCCAAATTTGCATAGTTTTAACAAAAGAAGTCCAATTTTCGAATACACTCACGTATTATGAATTATCCAACATAGATTCAAGTGCACATGTTTACAAATCATAACCAATAGAAGTCCAGGTTTTAAGCATCACTGTTGTGATAGAACGCCCAACGGACGATAGTTATTAAATGACATTCTCAAGTACAGTAAGAATAAATATACTTCAACTCTTTTTTTAAACAAAAAGGTATGTTGAGTTTTTCAACGTTATTATAAGAGATAAACGCTTTGATTTTGAGTAAACACAATGTTTGTAAATCGTAGACAACAGGTAACTTCCAGAAAAAAACGCGAGAATGAACACCTGTGACTGAAGCAACTTGACACAAATTACCAAAAAACGAGGTCAGACAATCAGATTTCGGACACTCTCGATCAGGTTCATCCACGCAATCCAACGTATAACAAATTTCACCAGAACGTGAGCCAATAATGAACGTCTTAACAATGTAATCAAACGGACAAGCTATGGTAACAGCAATAAGTTTTCCATCAGGAGAGTAACAGATATCATTATGCAAAAAAAAGTAATTGTGATGTTTTGGGTGAACAGCCAATCTTGTTCGATGGGCTAGTTGGAAATTTTCAGAATTGTCAGAAAGATTTAAAACGCGCCACACACAAAACAGCCCGTAACGATCACATATTGCAAGTTCCTCATGACCAAATGCAGGATTATAGCAGCATTTTTCAACTGCTGTATAATAATCGTAAACACGAACGCGTTGTAGTAGTTTTAAACTGTCAGCATCAAAATGAACAGTTCGCCATCAGTGCTTCCTGCCAAAGACGGCTGGCATCAGGAGATAGAGCCAAACAACTAAAGCCATCAGCACGATACTCCGCCCGCAAATTTAAATAATCTTCAACATCACTTTCATTCCCACTTTCACGTCTTTCTTTTAACACTTGCTCGTCACGCTCATTTGCCTCAAGATCCGTTTTAAGAAAAGGACAACCTAACTGAATGCAATCAACTCCCTAAATTCAACTTTAAGATCAATCCATTGGTCGGGTCCGTCTTTATAGATTCTTCTACGTTCCACAAACCGTCTGGTAGTTTATACACACGACACCAAAACGATCCAAGTCATGGGAAAATCAGGATCCAAACAAATAGTTACGGCAATTCTCTTTCCATCTGGGAAGAACTTAAGTTGAGAAGTGCGAGCATGAAGACAGTTTATGCAATATACCGGTTTAGGTAACTTTCCGACCTGATGCTCAGGTAAGGCAAAACAATCAAAGCAAAACCGATAATATTGTGTGACGGACGACAAAGAACGCTGCACTTGCAGCTATTAAAGAACCGTCCCAAGAGACGGCCCATTTTGTATGAGGGTTAAGACCTAACACATATTTTTCGAGCTGTTTTCAAATTTTATATCAATGAATTTCTTGACATCAGATTTAAAATCTTCACTTATAAGTCCTAGTGTATCGCTCTTGTAGCTGTACAAGAAACTTTTCATTGATGAAAATAACACAAACAACGTATCGCCATATTTGTTTCAATGTTGACAACATGCGATGGTGGAATACCGTCTAATTTCTAAATGAAAAAGAGATGTTTTAACCTTAATGTGAAAACTCACCAGAAGATCAACACTTTAAATATTTTATTATTTATACCTCGCTCATACATATCTCATATTCAGGAAAGCTGGAAGATGACGAACGATCAGATTCATCATCAGATGAATTGGAAGACATCGCGCAACTCTTTTTCAAAACCTAGAAAAAATCGATTTTATTTCGAAATCGCTGCTATTCTCCTCTCGGAAGAATGATTTTGCGAAAGAGTTTGGACACAGGAAGTAAAATTTCCTGGTGTCCGCCATTTTGTTTTAAAATAAGCAAATATCTGGCAAATATAGAGAATTGAATGGTGAAAAGACAAATTTTCCGTTTTGTTTTCTTATTCACGAATAGACAGCGATATGGTTTACTTTAAAATCGGAAAATCGTCAAGCTACGTTCTTAGATACCTGGCGCTCGACGTTTTACCCTCAACTATTTAACTGAAGCTAATTTTCCAGAGTTTTGGAGATAAAACAAGTCAATAAGCGGAAACTTTTAGTGCAAAATATTCCCCCGTTCAACGTTACGCAAGTCACCCATTCCACATTAAAATAAAAGCATTTGAAATGGTGAATAGTTTAAAATCCAATTGGTAAAATATTCTCTAGAAATTTGTCAACGAACAAGCGTCATTTTAAGTTATCTCGAAAATAAAATAGGCTGTTGTGTTGTATTGATTGTTTTAGCTTTGCTATACTTCCCTTTAACACGATGAAAACAGCTAAAATTCACACTTACCAGAATAAATATTGTCAGAGCACGTTTCAATGAAGACGACATGAAACTAAATGAATTTAACGACCACGAGGTAGAAAAGGTCTGACGTCTGAATCTATTCTTTCCACTAACATGTATCCCAGAAGTCAGCATTAATATTTAAAATTCAATTACCAGTGTGATTATGGAAAATACCCATATACTTCCTGATATAAGTTTTAGTATCCCTTATATATCGTTGAAATATGCAGTAAGATTTTAGTTTATTATATTTTATACAAAACCACTCTATATCACGGTCAAAAACGAAGTTAAGTGAAACTTCATTAATGTAAACCCAAGTCCATTGCTGTAGAAACGGATTATTGGGGACAATGGACGTTCCGTATAGGCCGATGTCATTAGCACTTAAGGGTATAAAAATTTGATATTGGCAAACTTTGATAATTCTTGTAAAATCCGTAGTTAAGTCTTGATCTTAGCTTATATCTGCTCGTTGACGGTCTTATAACTATATCTAACTGCATTGATATTTGTGCTTCTAGTCAATTTCTGGTCCATTCATGTTCTGTGCGTTGCGTGCATTCATTCTTATCAATTAATATATTATCTGAATTACACACTTTCTACGCCTAATTAAACAATTCAATGACCTTGTCAGCAGTAAAGATTGACAAAACATTAAACTGAATCTATCTCAATCTTCATCGGAGTGAGCACCTACAGTGGCACTAAGGTCAAACTCAATGCATTCTACAGCTGTTTTGCGAGTTCGTTCCCTGGTCAAAATAAAATTAGCTTGCGAATGTGAGATGAGTTTGTGAGCTTTGCTTGCATTTTTCTCCGGCTGCTCCAGTTTTCTGCCTCTAGGAAATTTTGTAAAAGGGTTGATATTTACAGAAAGTATGGCGTTCAGGAGAACCGTTATAAAAGTTCTTCTGAGGTTAAAACAGCGTAGACGAAGTTAATATGAATTCATTCTTCGTATACCTGAGTATTTAAATTTATTACTACTTAAAAAATAACGTTTTGGCTGCGTTTACACTATACCGGATTTGCTCATCACGACGTCTTCATTTGCTTTAAAAGGGGTAACTGTTCGGAGTAAAAGCTTATTAAGCGGATAGATTTAGTCTATTTGATCGTGTTTCTGACGCTGAACAATTTTACTGCCTTTTAATATAAAGAATATTCAACCTGCTGCGATAGCAATCCGGTATATTGTAAACGGAGCCTTAATGAAGACGTGTTAAAAAAACATGGAAAAATGTCGTCGTTTTATATTCGCGTATTGCGTAATGATGGGTATTACCATTATATGCCAAGTAAGGACCAAATTCATTTCCTTATCACAATTCTGCGTCCATGTTCTCGATCAGAAATCTTGTTATTAACTTGGGCTCAGTCAGATTAGCACTAGCCTCCCACCCCCTCCCGCCAGCAATTAAAGTATTTTTTCAAGGGCTGCACTGAAATAGTTCTCTTTCATTTAAAAAACATTGTTTGTATGGAAGCTTTTTATATTGGCAAAAATAATCTATTATATTGCTGTCTCTCTCAAGCTATGAATTCCATGCTTCTTTCTTGCAACAAGAATCTTTTGCTCTTTAACAAACAAAACAAAATTTTGCTGGTTTTACTTTCCTTTCATAAATAAGAATGTATTATACATTTTACGCATATCTCTCTATTGCTCTCAATAAGCCTATAAAATGTCGAGTTTTTAAATTGACGGGTCATAGACTATAGCGCACCAGCCTTCGACTTTATATTGTTTTGCCAAGATTGTGTAATAAGGACGTATCTCTATATCAACACCTTCCACAAAGCAACATCCGAAAAACCAACGGAAAACAGTTTATCTCCGGTCGGAGAAAATGTCACATGGCTAATAGAGTCACAATGCATATCGAAATCTTGAAAGCTACCTTTATCATAATCAATTACTTTCACTAGTCGATCTAAAACAAAAAGAAAATTACAGACAGCAAAAATACCTAATTAAGTGATTGTAAACTAAAGCTTCCAGTGTCATTAATTCTCGAGGAAATAAAAGAAGCACTGAAAAGAAATAAAAAACTTTTTAATGAGAATTTCACCTAGTGCTTTTTTGATTCGTATTTCCGACGTAGCTACGTCGATTTGGGACGTTTTTTTAGACTTAAACCATGTGGGATACGTAACCCTAAATTGTGATCTTAAGTTTCTTCTCAGAAAACCATCGATAATCCAGTTTTACTAATGGAAGAAAACTAGATGAGAAAAATTGACATAAGTTGGAGTAGATAAAGAAACTTTAACGATTTCAAACTATTATCTTTCAAGATATAGAAAGGATTTTCAAATCATTCAGTGTTGTTTTGCAGAACGTTGTAAAAAACTTCCTAATTTATACCTTTGGTTCCAACAGCAATTAAATGACCCTTAGGCGATATTTCCAAGCAAGAAGCCCATTGTGTCAACAAAATAGTTCGAAAAACCTGACAATGAACACATTTCCATCAATGATGGACATTTTGTCTGCTCCAAGCACAGACCTCTTACAAATACTGACCTTTCTCTGGGACAAGCTGTAGAATTGTATCAGTTTTCTCAGACCATAACCACTGTACACAATAACATCGGGCTCTGTTGGCGAGAATCTTGCCAAACTTGGCGGTAGATGCAAATACGCAGACTTCAAAGGGAGAAAACATGCTTATTTCAAACTTATTAAAACAGTTTTCCATAATAATTTATTTATCTTTCATTATCTTGAGCAACTACAATCAAGACAAGAAACAAACTACAATTTCTCACCGCATCGTCTTTTTTCAAAGCAATTCCTTCAGGTGTTATATTTGGAGCGGGAAAAGTTAACCAATCAACAAGCTCGCAGAAATCCTTCGACCAATCGGCCTTCCATACGCTAACCCTACGATCAGCGTTCGCAATAAGCCACAATCTGGGCGAATTGAATGATGGATGATCGTTCTAAAAACAAGGTTTTGATTATTAAAAAGCCCTTAATGACCGAGCGCGACGTGTTTACAGAGAAACAATGGACCGAAGTTTTTTTGTACAGACCGATCCCGTAGGGCGAGGTTGTACAAAAAAGACAGAGGTCTGATATTTCTCAGTAAAGACCGAGAAAGCGAGTTTATTAAATAGATTATTAGATGGCATTATTTGACCTGAAACGAAGCTTGCCTTCTCGTCCTTGCGGTTTTTACGAGTTGATTTTCACTTTTAGCCGGAAGTGACACTTGCCATATAATAATCATCATCAAAATAACCAGTAAGATGTTAAGTTTGGTAAATATTGCGAAAGTGCTTAAAAAATATTTTGAAGTAGGTTAAGACTTTTTATTCATAAAACAATATCAATAAACGTTTGCACTGATTGGTCCATAGCTGAGTTTGTATTAGTTTGCGTGAACTGGTCTGAGCTCAATTAATTAATCAATCAAAGAGAATTTGCATATCAATCATGAATACATGTTAAAGGAAAAATAAAAACAATTCTCTGAAACTTTCGCATTATTGCTATTTAAGATAAGAAATAAAAGATGTTTTTGTGTTGGCACAGGCTTATGCAAACCTTGGAGAGGCTCATGAGAACTCTCAAACAGGTGCACTAATCTGCTCTCAAGTTCTCCCAAAGGACTCTTCCGTTTGCATAAGCTCGTACAAACACAGTGAAAATCTTTTATTTCATACTCAGTTCTATTTTTTGCAGAGTGTTTTTCATTGTACCTTATGTGAAGCAATGTCCATATCAGTGATTGGTGCTCCCTTATGATCTTGGATCAAACGGACAGTGAGGCCAGTAGCAGGACTACTTATGGCTACCACACCATCTGTACTACCACTCATAAAAACACGACCTATACAACAAATTTATTTCTAAGGTACGTCAAAATTGTCATTGTTCAGTTTGACCACTAGAGTTGAACTACAATTGGACTCGATGATTTTCATAACCAAATAATCAAATAATCTGCCATACCAAGTTATACTTAACAATCCCAAGTGGTAAAACAACCCAAGTCAACATCCACAATCCCATCGTATCCTCACACATTCCAATATTCTTCACCACACCAAGTCATCCTCAGCCATAACATTTTAAACTTAAAAATCCCATGTTATTCATAAGCTCCAAAGTTATCCTTAACAAGAGGACAAGAGGGGGGAGATGAAGAACCAACTATAAGGTAGATACCACACATACCACTGTATACTATACCACTCATATCACTGTCCTCCACAGTAGATATCGCATACATCACAGTATACTATAGTTAGATACTAAAAATATCACTGTATATTATAGGTGGATACCACATATAACATTGTATACTATAGGTAAATACAACATATATCAGTGTATACTATAGATAGATACAACATATATCAGTGTATACTATACATAGATATCACATATATCAGTGTATACTATAGATAGATTCCACATATATCACTGTATACTATAGGTAGATATCACATATATCACTGTATACTATAGATAGATACCACATATATCACCATATACTATAGAAAGATATCACATATATCACTGTATACTATAGGTAGATACAACATATACCACAGCATATTATAGGTAGATACCACATAAAATACTATATACTATATGTAGATTCTGCATGTATCAAGCAGCGACTGGTCCTTACCACAGGCAGAAAAATTGATAACAGTAACGCCCCCAGAATGAGGATGTATTTTCATAATCATTTCAACTCTTCCAAGATCAAAGAGTCTTACGGTTCCATCATCAAAACCAGCCACGCAATGTGATGGTCTTAATGGTTTCTCCACTGGTTCAATGTTAGGATGTACTGTGGCTATCACTTCACCATCTTGTAAGACATTATGTGTTGGTTCACGTGGAGGTGTTGGACAGAATGAAACACAATTACAGCGCTATGGAGGGAAAGAAATTTTAAACAACTGATAGTCAACATCGACGAAATTTTTAGAGATGAGTTACGTTTTGGTCCCGTGTAAGTGAAAGCTTTTATTTATAACATATACAAGCGCGCAAAAGATCTCTTTATCTGTGACGTATAAAGATCCTGAGCAGGTTCAAAGAGATCTCTTTATTTGTGACATATGAAGAACCTGAGGAGGTTAAGAGAGGTCTATCTATCTGTGATATATGAAGAGCCTTAGCAGGTTCAAAAAGATCTGTCTATCTGTGACATTTGAAGAACCTGAGGAGGTTCAAAGAGATCTCTCTATCTGTGACGTATGAAGAACCTGACGAGGTTCAAAGAGATCTCTCTATCTGTGACGTATGAAGAACCTGAGGAGGTTCAAAGAGATCTCTCTATCTGTGACGTATGAAGAACCTGAGGAGGTTCAAAGAGATCTCTCTATCTGTGACGTATGAAGAACCTGAGGAAGTTCAAAGAGATCGCTGTATCTGTGACGTATGAAGAACATGAGTTTTAATGACGACGAGAAACATGCTTCAATTCACCTGATCGACAACTTGAAATTGCAGCGTTTGTTCGAGGTCATCAGAAGTCCAGACTCTTAAGCTACCATCATCGGAGCAAGTCGCAAAGAATTTGTCATCAGGACCGCTGGCCACCAGTGAATTTATCTAAAACAATCACGTGGTTGAAGATGGAATACAATATTTTCACAGGGAGATTAACACAGTGAGTTACCTTCTCTGTATGACTGCTGACAAGACGAATAGACGTCCTCTCTGTCCAGTTTATGTACCATAACGTACCTCCAACTGTACCAACAATACCCTAAAGTACACACCACACACCTGGAGGCAAGCAATTCACAGGGAAAACATATTTTAGAAAATATCGAAAACCTAGTTTTCAAAAGGAAAACAGATTCGTCAATTTCTTCCCTTTTATTCACCATTCTTTCATCTTCCCACTGACGAAGTCTTACCATTTCCAAGGATGTGTCGAATGAAGCAGAAATCACTCCGGCGTCCAAAGACATTTCGTCTTCGATAACCAAACCATTTTGATTCAATCTGATAAAATATGGGATCAGCTTTCGCAAAAAATGAAATCTAGAACGCGCTTTCTCGTGAGATTAAAAACTTCATTAACCCCGCTAACGCAAAGTTATCACAACACAATTGAACTATTTCAGCAATCCTAAATTGAAAACTTTCCCCTTAGTGTCTGGGTGATAATCATCATGAAAAAAAAATAACTGAAAAGAAACCTACACATCATTCTCTCCGGGCAATCTCATCTCTCCAACGCCTACAACAGACCAAAGACGAAGATGCCCCGATGAGCTTCCGGTAGTCAGCGAGCCACGATGACAAACAATTACATCTACGAAGAAAGCAAATAACGACTGTAGAACATAATTCAAAATGAATGTCATAAAATTTATATCCGCATGACAAACTGAGTTGAAACCATGAATAATATGACAAAGAAAACAGATAATATAAATACATTTTCTTACCGATTTCAGAATCGTCAGAAAGCCAGTGCATAAAACACTTGTTTTGTCTTGTATCCCAAGCAGATATAATTCCTTGAAAATCAAAAAAAATCAGAAAAAAGAAAATTGATTTTCAAGAAAGAGACACGTAAAGTCAACAAACATTTTGAATCATTAAAAACATGATCGTTTACTTCATGTAATATTAATGAAATGTGAGTAGAATTAGGCGTGAGTTTTAACAAGGACTGGTGCGAGTTGCCACACAATATACAATCAAAAAGAAACAAAACCTCCTGTGATTTTGTATTAACATTTAAGTCAAGCTAAAAGAGCAAAGAAAATCTTTGGTAGCTACAGACATTTATAGTCTCCTTAAGAACAAAACATCAAAACCTAAGGATAAGCCATTGATCTTTAACGCTTGAAAACAAATCTATTGGGTCCATAGAAGATGAAGTGGACAGGAAATTTGCAATAAACCAAACTTTATAGTTTCAAGCATACCAGCATTATTGCCTACATAAAGCACATTATCACCAGCATAGCGGACACTTGTAAAATGTACCATGGAGTCATTCTGTCGAAGAAAAAACAGCAAAATATCACAAAGAAAGAGAACTTATAACGAAGCAAGTTTCAGATAAATAGCGAAGAAAACCTGCTTTGAAGTGTATAACAAATCTTCGGGAACTTTCCCTTCACAAACCTAAAAAACGAAGGGTCATCCTTCATAAATCTGAATAAAAAATGTGGAGTCTTAAATCTGGAGATCAAATTATGAAATCATTAAAGTATTTTCAAAAATCTGGAATCTTGGAATTTAGTACTAAAATCCTAAATCTTAAAACTGGAATGTAGAAAACGCATATCAAAAATTATAGTCATTCAAACTTTTATAAATTGAAACATCAATTGATAAAATATATATCAATATACGCACCAAGACATACACTATCCACCCTATGTTACCTCATGAGTACTTACATTCAAGTTGAAAGATCCACGAGATTCTTCCAGTAACCAAAACAGCACGTGACCATCTTGTCCGACCGACACAAACTCGTTCATCGTATAAGTATCCCATGCGATGTCATGGATTGGAGTTTTAGTATAGGACGATGTGAGTACATTGTAGTCCTTAGTACCCCATATTACCACGGAACACTCCCTGTAATCTCCGACTGAGATCAGAAAACGATCGTCTCTTGAGAAATGAAGGCCAACAATCTCATAGGAGTGATATGTCAGCATCTGAATATAAATATAAATGCTCTAATTTATGTCTCAATGTAAAGATTAGAGACCAACAGATCGTTTAAAAGAAAGACATAAGTGGTTTGATTTATGATAGTCCGAAGAAATCTGAAGATGTGTTTGATTTCGTTAATGTCTGCAATTAGTCTGAACTCAGATTATGTGTTGAGTCAAGACGAAAGGTTTCTTTAATGAGCATTAAAAAAACAAACCGCTAATGGCTTTTTTGAAAACGTACTGTTGAGCTCTGATCTTTATCTTGAGAATAGGATTCCCGCCTGGCACACTGCTGGCAACAATATTCATGCTCAGATTAACATATAATAAAAATTTTCGATAAATCAAGAAAAACTCAAATATTACAGATTCACAAGATCTTTTATCTACGGCAGTAAAAAATATGTGTCATAGACACCATAAAACGAAGAAATATCCATCTACCCATTAGCGAAGACAGACCAGGAATTTAGGTCGAGCTATAAAAATTTCAGATCATTGGCATTATTGTTTTTTACAGCGAGTGAACAACTAAATAATTACATAGCATGAACAAGCTAGCGGGCTGGCTACACCACTGCCTCTACACCTAAATAATTACATAAAATGAACAAGCTTGCGTTCTGGTTACACCACTGCCTCTGCACCTAAATAACTACATAGAATGAACAAGCTTGCGGGCTGGCTACATCACTGCCTCTACACCTAAATAATTACATAGAATGAACAAGCTTGCGGGCTGGCTACACCACTGCCTCTACACCTAAATAATTACATAGCATGAACAAGCTTGCGGGCTGGCTACATCACTGACTCTACACCTAAATAATTACATAGAATGAACAAGCTTGCGGGCTCGATACGCCACTGTCTCTACACCTAAATAATTACATAGCATGTCATCAGAAAACGATCGTCTCTTGAGAAATGAAGGCCAACAATCTCATGGGAGTGATATGTCAGCATCTGAATACAAATATAAATGCTCTAATTTATGTCTTGCGAGCTGGCTACGCCCCTGCCTCTACACCTAAATAATTACATAGCATGAACAAGCTTGCGAGCTGTCTGCGCCACTGCCTTTACCTTTTTATAATCACCAGATGCAATATCCCAGATACAAATGCATGACGCCACCGTCTTTGAAGACCCGGATGCCGAGGCAAGAACCTGAACATCGTGTTGAACAGCTATTGTGGAAATCTCTTCAAAATGTTGCATGAGATGTTTTTGTTTTCCATCATGAAGATCTTCGATGATAACGATGCAGCCACTGGTGTAAACGAACAAACCTGAATAGGGACAATTGTAACTGATCTCAATATATTAACGTTCTGGTTTGTTGTTTAATACAGAAGCGTATCAAACTCGATAGTAGGGAGCATCTATTCATAAACGCATTTTCTGTATTCCTGAATCGAACACTGATTGAAACTAGTGTATTCGCCAGGATTTTGCGTTTGAAAGCCAATCCTTCAAAATTCAATTTGGGAAGAGGAGATTTCATTTTGAAACGAGGATTTCGCATTTTAAAGCCAGTCCGTTCAAAATTTAAACAAAGGGAAGACGTGAAACCAACCCCTCTTCTACTAAGCAAAGCCATTGTTTGAATCCGTATTTCAACAAAGTGCATCGTACTTCCACTTTTTACTAAGTAACAAATACATAAGAGATCCTGAGTATTTCATTTTATGTAGAAAAAATCTTTTCCACCAAAGTTTAAAGGAATATGAAGGTGACCGGTGATGTTTCTTACTATCTAAAGTAACAAATCAGAAAGCAGATTGAGCCCGCTAACCTGTTTCAGGATGCCAACACATATTGTTCCGGCCATCTCCGTTGTAATCAAGAATAGCCAGCAAAGCAAGTCCAGCCTGACTTCTGGGTGCCGTGTATTTTCTTTCAGGCAGCGCAGTGGAACTCTTACGTTTCTTGTAATGTTTTAGCACACCAGGGAATGGGTGACCTGTATCTGAGGAAAGCGAAATGCGGATTGGGGTCTGGGTCTTGATCTGAAAATTTTCAAAATGTTATTTAGAGGGTTACAGACAGGATACCAGAACTAAAAGACGCGTGAAAAAACCGATCGATTCGTTAAAGAGTACTATTCGCAATACTACCGCGTTCAAACATTTCACTCTTTTATGTCTTTCTATATATTCTCAAAAATATTATCTATTTCGAGCCCGGGAGTATCGTTACATGTTTGTAGATGTAGATCGTCCTGGTTGGCAAAGTCTTGAGAAGGACTGCTGTTGTTGTTGTTGTTGATGTTGACTGATGTTTCGACAATCTTGTCTCTGAAGATGACTACCGCTAAGGTTGACGAAACATCAATCCATACAACGTCAAACGTCCTTCTCAGGACTCAACAAACCTGGACGATCTACATCTGCAACCATGTAACTATCTATTTTATACTGTTTGACGCCTTCAAAATTTTGTCATCCTTTTCTGACAAATATGAACAGTCTATCCACGAAAATCTTCTCATCTCTAGCCTTAACCCCAATCTTAACATCCAGGGCAGTTCCATCCCACTAAATCTACTTCCACTCGATCCCACTTTATCACCTAATGCACACAATCCACCACATTGTTATCATCACATTTTGTAATCTAACACACTGTTAATGTCTTACAATTAATGTTTGTGTTTTTAAACTTCCTATATAATTCATAACTAGCCTGATGTCTTAAGTTAAAAATGAAATGCTATGATCAACAGATATTTCATCGATGGCTAGATAAAAAGTTATTTGTTGGGAAATTAAAGTAACACTGAAAATTCATTTTTCGACAGGCATATTAATAGTTACACATCATATTTTTAAAAAACATGATGACACGTATAAATCGTTTGGACATAATCTTTTTCGAATGAGTGAAAACGAAACGTCGCGATCTTTAAAACAAATATCCTATTCCTAAAGTACAAGGGACGTATAAAAACAGTTTATCGAACACAAATATTCATTCCGAGAAATCGCTTCCCGATAGACTGAGCAAAATATCTTCAATGAAATAAAAACATTACATCATCTTTAAACGAGACCCACCGACTTCGATATTTCTGGAGTGTTGTTCGGAACTTTTAAACTTCTAGTCACAATAGGATTGAAACTATCGATGACTTTCACATCTTTCTTAGATGGAGAGTTTACGACAATCTCGTCCCGTTTGTCGGGAGAACTGGGGAGAGGCTGCAGAGGTAATTCGGTCGCCATAATTGGAGGTCTGGGTTTGAGATCAGATTCTCCAATGTCATCTTGTGTTGGTGAGCCAGCTCCATCAAAAACATGTGCAGTTTTATCTGAATTAAAAACGCAAAATTTATTTGAAATGTTGCAACTTGATATCCTTAAAGATCCGCTGAATGAATAGTGAAAATTAGAGGAAAGAATTTTTCAGCAAGAACGCCATAGAATAGTGCATGGAAGTAGTACAAGCTGAGCTGGAAAGAGAACTTCTCACAGGCAACCTTAAAATCGTTATAGAAGGTTCTACAAGACGCAGTAAACTTAAGGCATTATGTGGAATCACGAGCTTTCGTGACATAAAGACTGTTGGTTACAGTTAGATGTAAGATTGTGAAAGTTTATGAAAATATTTAACATATAATTTTATATATATGAAAGCATAAAACACACCCGATTCATTTTGTTGTAATCAATCCTTCTTCTCTTCCACTAAGAAAAATGGCGAAGAAATGAAAAAAATTATAGCGAGTCGTAATCACTGATCTCGAAATAAGACTAGATCCAGCATCTAGCACAAAAGTTGAAGACAAAAAATAAGGAGTGCCGCCATTACTAAGGAGCCAACTTTCGAAAATAAGGAGCAAATGTATTGTGGATTTATACGAGAATAATGAAGAATTTTCAACATACAACTACATGAAAATAACTAAGAGATAAATCAGTTTATAGATAAGCTAAAAATACGATGAAATATGATCAAAATGCAGCGATTTTTGTCATCGGTAAGTCTACTTTGGTATGGAAAAACTATGGAAAATAGCCCACAACTGCATGGAAATACCTAGAATTGTTGAAATCGTAGTTCAGAAGTACAAAGTGATTAAATAATGTAATTTACTATCATAAACTGATCAGTCCTTAAAAATAGCCTTTTTGCGAGTGATTCGGAGAGAAACGTGTATGCGTTTTGTTTTATACGGCCGATTATTCTTTCTGACTCGCTTTACTATCGCCATAAAGGTTGTTTTCATCTTCTGCGTTATTTTAAAGTATAATTTGGCTATGTGTTGCTATGTTTTCCACAGTTTTGTTAAAAATCTTTCGATGTGTCAGTCCCTTACTAATGGCGACGGTGGCTTCAAAATTTGTTTACTACAAATATAGATTTGCTTGATCCAGTCTTTTTTCGAGATCAATGGTCGTCATATGGTCGTAATGAACGTTTTTACAATCTGGAGATGAGTGGTGATTGGATGAAATCCCGAGATTACCGAAGGCCAAATAACTGGTTATACCATTTAAGTAAGCAGTTGAATCGTAGGCTCCAAATTTTAAGGGAGCGTTTCGGTAATATTCATGTCATGTTTGTGGATGTTGATCATCCAGATTAGTAGAGTTCTGAGAAGAACTATTGTTGTTGATGTTGACTGACGTTTTGACTTCCTTAGCGGTAGTCATCTTCAAAGTAAAGTGATCTATGACATCAATGATCTATGTGATCTATGACATCAATGATCTATGTGATCTATGACATCAATGATCTATGTGATCTATAACTTCAATGACCTATGTGATCTATGACTTCAATGATCTATGTGATCTATGTCTTCAATGATCTATGTGATCTATGACTTGAATGATCTATGTGATCTATGACTTCAATGATCTATGTGATCTATGACATCAATGATCTATGTGATCTATGATTCAATGATCTATGTGATCTATGACTTCAATGATCTATGTGATCTATGACTTCAATGATCTATGTGATCTATGACTTCAATGATCTATGTGATCTATGACTTCAATGATCTATGTGATCTATGACTTCAATGATCTATGTGATCTATGACTTCAATGATCTATGTGATCTATGACTTCAATGATCGATGTGATCTATGACTTCAATGATCTATGTGATCTATGACTTCAATGATCTATGTGATCTATGACTTCAATGATCTATGTGATCTATGACTTCAATGATCGATGTGATCTATGACTTCAATGATCTATGTGATCAATGACTTCAATGATCAATGTGATCTATGGCTTCAATGATCTATGTGATCGATGACTTCAATGATCTATGTGATGTATGACTTCAATGATCGATGTGATCTATGACTTCAATAATCTATGTGATCTATGACTTCAATGATCTATGTGATCTATGACTTCAATGATCTATGTGATCTATGACTTGAATGATCTATGTGATCTATGACTTCAATGATCTATGTGATCTACGACTTCAATGATCTATGTGATCTATGACTTCAATGATCTATGTGATCTATGACTTGAATGATCTATGTGATCTATGACTTCAATGATCTATGTGATCTACGACATCAATGATCTATGTGATCTATGATTTCAATGATCTATGTGATCTATGACTTCAATGATCTATGTGATCTATGACTTCAATGATCTATGTGATCTATGACTTCAATGATCTATGTGATCTATGACTTCAATGATCTATGTGATCTATGACTTCAATGATCTATGTGATCTATGACTTCAATGATCTATGTGATCTATGACTTCAATGATCGATGTGATCTATGACTTCAATGATCTATGTGATCTATGACTTCAATGATCTATGTGATCTATGACTTCAATGATCTATGTGATCTATGACTTCAATGATCGATGTGATCTATGACTTCAATGATCTATGTGATCAATGACTTCAATGATCAATGTGATCTATGGCTTCAATGATCTATGTGATCGATGACTTCAATGATCTATGTGATGTATGACTTCAATGATCGATGATCTATGACTTCAATAATCTATGTGATCTATGACTTCAATGATCTATGTGATCTATGACTTCAATGATCTATGTGATCAATGACTTCAATAATCAATGTGATCTATGACTTCAATGATCTATGTGATCTATGACTTCAATGATCTATGTGATCAATGACTTCAATGATCAATGTGATCTATGACTTCAATGATCTATGTGATCTATGACTTCAATGATCTATGTGATCTATGACTTCAATGATCGATGTGCTCTATGACTTCAATGATCTATGTGATCTATGACTTCAATGATCTATGTGATCTATGACTTCAATGATCTGTGTGATCTATGACTTCAATGATCTATGTGATCTATGACTTCAATGATCTGTGATCTATGACTTCAATGATCTATGTGATCTATGACTTCAATGATCTATGTGATCTATGACATCAATGATCAATGTAATCTAAGACTTCAATGACCTATGTGATCTATGACTTCAATGATCTATGTGATCTATGACTTCAATAATCTATGTGATCTATGACTTCAATGATCTATGTGATCTATGACTTCAATGATCTTTGTGACCTATGACTTCAATGATCTATGTGATCTATGACTTCAATGATCTATGTGATCTACGACTTCAATGATCTGAATAACTCACTGAATAACATCAGTCAAAAAATGTTATCCTACATAAAAAATGTTTATACCAGCAGTTTTGGAAGTGCACAAATATCGTGAAATCTCTGTTGCGAATGTCAGTAAATAAAAAAACAAACAATATAAAAAAAGTGTGTTTACGTACCCAGGCTCCAAAGGAACGCGGCCATATGCAAGGAAATCCCAAATAAATATCGCCTCTCCAATACTGACCAAAGCTTGGAGGTCTGGGGTAAAACGAACTTTGGAGATATTATTTGAATGGCCAATAAATACCTGTATAGAATCGGTTAAGATGTATCATAAAATAAAACAATACAACGCGTGCGCTGATTGGTGTAGAGTTGTGCTTGCGTGCGCTGATTGGTGTAGAGTTGTGTTTGCGTGCGCTGATTGGTCAGTTGTGCTTGCGTTAGCCTGTAAACATATTTCCTTTCTTATTTAATAAAGATAAGTAAATATAATTTTTAGATCTCAATTCTTCCTAAATATAAATGTAATGTAAGATATGAAAGGTTTTGTATACTTAAGGAATTTCAGATAAGCATTTTGCATGCAGAACTATACAGAATAATTCATTGATAAGACAGTTTTTCGTAAAAAATAAAGAGTATTTCTAATTAACAACACACTACCATTATATGTATCATTGACAGTAAAGTCAGTCATGAAAAGTTTTCGTTGTGTTTTTGACATAAGTAAATAAATATTATAAAAATTTACAACGTGCGTTGTTAGATGTTGAAGAAGTTAGAGCGTAGTAAATGTCTTCATTATGAAGGCTATCTTACCTGGAAATTCAAGTCCATTCTCATGTGATAGTCCCATATCTTGATAAGTTTATCACCAGCAGTTGCAAGAAAATGCCCAGTTTGGAAAGGATCAAGACTCGAACAGCTAGATCGATGAACGTTGGAAACCTAAGCAATAAAACATATTTCATATAATTCCTGTCGGTGTGAAATTTTCATCATAACAAGCTCTCTATGTCGCATCAACGACCCTCCCCCCTCCCTCTTAATCTTAATTATCTACTTTGCTCAATAACTGTCCAATAAGTACATCAAGTTTTAACAACCTACATCAAGCAGTAACTGCAAACAAATTCTTTAAATGTAGCATGAAAATCCTCCCTCTTCTTATTATTATTATTTACTTCGCTCAATAATTGTCAATTAAGTTACATCAAGTTTTAACAGCCTACATCCATCAGTAACTATCAACAGACTCTTTCTAGGTATCATAAAACCATCCTCTCCATCATTATTATCTACCTCGCTCAATAACTGCCCACTATGAGCATCAAATTTCAACAGCCTACAACCAGCAGTAACAACCAAAAGTTGATTTAACGCCATAGGAGAGTAGCACAATCTTAGGACAGTATCGTCAGTAGTGGAAACACTTCCTGCATGTATTGTTTTTATATCTATACGTAGAACCTAGATAATATAAACATTGTTTAATATCAATTAATCTCAGCTTTAGCATGTTCAAGACTTATAGATAATCTGTACCTATAGACTGTTTAACATAACATAACCTCAGCTTAAATATGTTGGAGATTCATAATCCCTACTTAAAAACTGTTTAACACCATATAATATCAGCTAACACAGTTGAAAATTATATAAACTCTACTTAAAGACTGAAACTTACATGTCACAAAAACTTTAATAATTTCAGAAGTAAGCTTGTAAAGGTGTTACAAGAAAATCCATTAAAATTTTAGGAGATCTTTTATTTAAGAGAATAAAAAACGTGATGTATGCTCATATCTTCACGTCATTTTCAAATTTGAAAACTATTCGTAAAATGTATATTATAAGAAACAAAATGTCTTTCTAGTGTGGAAAGATTGCTTCTATTACGAACTTTTGTGTTAGATGCTTGATCCAGTCTTATTTCGAGATCAGTGCATGACACCAACACACGGAATATTACAGTAACCTAGTGGTTAGCCGCACATGCGCAGTGGCTACCCACAAAACCATTTGCATTCTGAGTCACAGACATTACACAGCATGCAGGATAAGCACAAACATTTATGTTGCCACGCAATATAACTATGATTTTATTTAAATCAAAACTGTAAATCATGCAATTATTGTAATGAAACTAACATTGATACCAATAAAGAAAGACTTAGAAAGGATCATACTGTAATTGACATGCATTGATATTCGTTGATTTCTTACCTTTATATAAAGATTTAGATGACTTTAATCTTGAAAAAGGTGGATTTTCACAATCAAACTAAAACATTATTGAAATGTACATTCCCTTATCGATAAACAAATTAATATTATCACAAGTACAAGTTGACTCTGAAGATGTCTACCGCTAAGGTTGTCGAAACGTCAGTCGACAACAACAAAAAAGTCCTTCTTAGGACTCTACTAACCTAGACGATCTACATCTACAAACATGTGACGTTATTCCCGCGTGTTCAAACCATTTACTTTATCAATAATATTATTGTCTTCTCTATTTCATCTCAAATATCGAGTTAAGATACATATAATATTTGGAATTTATTTTACTTTACATATCAAATTGTCGGCTGCAAGTGGATACTGTCTTATGAAAATCCTTTGAAATCAATTGTTGTTTGCAAATTATGATAAAGTATGCATGACTTTCCCTCTTCGTCAATATTGAAGCTAGCTTAGCTACACCACTCTTACAACGTATGGAACTTGGAAGTAAAAACGTTTTTAATGTACATTCATACAAATACTGATCATTGCCTTTCCTTCAAACAGGTTCTTTTCTCTTTAAATTGTTCACTCACTGGATTCGCTTTCATTGAAATTGAAAAAGTTTTTGAGATCTGAACAATGTTTCAATTCGTCATTTGACCTAATCGCTGCATGCACCAGAACAGGGAGATGGGGGAATGTTTTTAGAAAATACGCCTTGTGATTGCCAATTTTATAAAATGGCTCTGGTTGAGGTAGAGGTCCGTCGTACCAATGTTGGCCAATATTTCGAATTAGTCTCAGGCATTCTGTCAATGAAGGCCCATACTTATACATTTTTCCATTTACCTTGTCTGTTCTAAAAAAATCATATACATCAGTGTCCATAAAACTTTTCCAATTTGAATACTTGGTATTTAATTGTTTGACGACACTTGAATCGGTGTCGCTCGTTTTATTGGCTGTTGGTTTCCAACTTTACATAAAAAGTCAAACTTCTCGTCATCTGACATAAGAAATGGGTGTTTCAACGCTTCGTTGGCAGATGGCCGATCTTCAGGTCGTAGATTTAACATCCAGAACAAAAGGTCTTTCAATGCTTCATCCTTGATTTGATCTAAGCCAACAGGGTTTCCATTCAACATATTGTCCAGTATATGCCGTTTAGTTCCAAAGGATGTTTACCTTTCGAGGCAACATAATAAGCCACCATTCCAGCATTCTAAAATGATAAACAATGTAAAATGCAAAATGAAATTTATTTGTACCTTGTAAATAGTCATATCCCTATACCAACCATTACATCAGACTCTTTCTTGTAACGTCCTTTATCAACTGTATCTTCATCTTCACAATATGATTCAGGTGCAATCCAATACTCAGTTCCCCTGTTAGCCCTGCTTTCATATGTCCTCAAGCCATTCTTTAATATTCGACTAATCCCAAAATCAGCTATCAGAAACTTACCTTGTGAATCTCGGAGAACATTGGAAGGCTTCAAATCCCGATGAAGAATAGGATTTGGGCCGCTGTGAAGATCAGCTAATCCTTTTAAAATTTGTGTAAGAATTTCTGGAAGAGCTTTTTGAAGATCAGGCAAAGTAGAAAACTTCACAAAACTCTCCAATGATTCTTCGCATAAGTCTAATATTAAATAGACATATTCCGTTCCAGTATCCTCATCTAAGTAGGAATAATTCACAACATATTTTGACTTCTTTGCGTTGAATTCATTCAAAATTTTCTTTTCTTGTTGCGCACTCTTAATACAATTATCTCTAAGTATTCGTTTTACTGCTTTGCAGTAACCATCCTTTCTCAGTCCCAGAAAAACACGGGTTTCGTTGCTTCCTTTGCCAATGCAAAACTCGTCGGAAAAAATCACACGTACATCACCAACCAGTTTAACCTCGGTATTCCGATTGCGTCCATATTGAATCAACTTTAGTAACAAATTTCTATGTTTTGTAGATTTGTCGATGCATTTCCACTCACGAAACTGCAATTCTTAAAATGACATAAAAGTATTACTTTTAGAGGTGAGTGAAACGAAAATAATCTGAAGCATAAGTGTTGCCCACTTTAACCAATGCAATACATACATGCAGTGCACTTTTTGGGAAAAAAATGGGCATCATAACAACAATTAAACATAACATTAATTACTCAGATATGCAATCAAATGATTCAAATATAATGACATTGGGTGATATAAAAAATTAAATCACAAAAAGACGTTTTCGTTGTAACTTTTCTGTTGTGCATAACGTATTGCTTTTCAATATATTTTAAGAGCATTTTTCTTGTGTCTAAGGTTATTTATTTTGTGGGAGAAGATATAACAAAATAGCTATCTTTTAAAAACAAATTTTTTTCTGTAATTTTTACTACAAAACTTTCACTGTTAGCTAATAATAAAGATTGCTAATAATAAAGATTGTAACTAGTGAGTAAGACAATCGCAGAACAACATTTTAAAACTAAAATCACCACAATTTTCCATCTTTTCACAAGCCATGCACTTAGAAAAGTTTCTTATTTTACAACAAAATATAGACACTATTATTCAAACATAAACTTTACCTTCCGTTGGGACTGGACAATATTTCGTTAGTACAGTCGGAAAACCGATCTAGAGAAAACGAAATTTGATATACTTCTATAGTGAATAAAATTTCACTCGTAATCCAACAGTTTAAAGGCATAGAGCCAATTTAAAGTAGAGTAGAAAGCTCAGGCTTACAATGTGCTAAAAAAGGAACCCACAACGATTAATGAAAAAGATTCATTTTGCCTTTTTGATTATTTTCAAATGACAATTTGAAACGTAAACAAAGTGTAAACTTAATTGCAACATAACAAGTATCTCTCATTTCCAGTCAAATGTTACAACTCTTCAATTTGCACTATCTCAAGTTAACCTTAACCATGTCATTAATCTCCATTAATCAACTTTGTCCTGCGACAAATAGGCTAAGTGCATGCAAAAAAACGTGTTTGTCTCTACAAAAACATGTCTTGCCACGAACACAAACGTGTCATGCCATATCAATGAAATACACCGTTCTTCCATGCAAACAAAACGAACCTGTTCAGTCTTATAAAACTCCACAAGTTTTACCATACTGTCAAACATGGGCCCATTCTTTAGGCAGTACTTGCCATTGTCGACTAATATTTCGTAATTCTTTATTTCATTGCCGTGAATGAGTGATAGGATATAACTGTCAAAATGTTTGGGACTTTGGCGTATCATATAAACGCCAGATGGATTGCTGTTTTCTGTTTTTACCGCCTTTAAGAGATTATCAACCATCTTTTGCCTGTAAAAATATTTTCGTAAATGGTAGAGCAATGCAAAAAAATAATGATGATAAGTGAGGCAAATGCTGGATATTACCACAATTCAGAAAAAATTGAGATGACAAGGAATGTTGACGAGTGATACTGTGGTGGAGAATATAACACGGACTTACTATGCAAAATCAATGCTTAAGAAAATGTCTACCATACCAGGCATTGGCTAAGCCAGAATAGATAATGGGGGTATATACATATATATGTTACAATCCACAGAAAACAATCGATTTGAAAGTAACTTAATACGGCCAAACACGAATATATGAATATTGCCCCCAATTATCGAGCTTTCTACGCCTCTGTACCGCACTTCAATTTCACGATTTTTCATCGCCACAAATCAATCATAGATAACGTACTTATAATAGAAATGGAAATCTATTTCACGTATATTATTTCGAAAATAGGAATGTATTCACGCACATTTTAACAAAGCAGTTTTTTGTTAACTAGTACTTACTCAATCGGTCCATGGATCCCAAATTGCTGATGGAGTTCTCCATATGATTTATTATGACCAGATCCACCTAAGACAAAAAATCCAATCGATTAAACTTGAACCAAACAAAATCGCTCGCCATATTTTAAAGAAAATTTACAAAACTGATTATTGTCTAAAGACCACTGCTCATTGATGCAAATGTACGTTATTGATTGTCACGGGCTCTAAACAATGTAATTACGTACATTTCATTAAGGTTTTGTATGGGTTCACAAGCAAACGATAAAAGCCATCAATCAATGTCATAAGACTTTTCGCTTTTATCATAGAATCGTCGACGAAAACGACCTACAATCAAATAAAAACTCACAAGAGTTATGTCACATTCAAGATCAAACATCGCTATGAGTAGTTGCTACACCATAAAGCACGAAAAGAGTAAGGGTAATACATTATTATTGAAGCAACAGTAATAGCTTTACCTCGGGAGACAAGTTCTTTCTAATTATGCGGATGCTGACTTCTCCAGACTGGGATTGATTTATGTCGAGGCTTACAATATCTTTATGATCGCAGATGATCTCTTCAACTTTACTGGATTCATAATTACTGCCGTACTAAACAATGACAAAAATCAAATACACGCTCGAATTTCAGAGCATTTGTGCATTACCCCTTTGACTGGTAAACCTTTTAAACATCCCTGTCATTCCTCCATACTATCACACCTTAAATCCACAGGACACACCGACACCTTCAAGGATTTAAAATACTTTCTTCATGCTCAGACTCACAAGAACTTCTTATTCACGAAAGCCTCTTAATCAACAAAATGAAACCATCTCCTAATGTCCAAGGAAACCCCATTGTCCTTCAGTTGCTTTAATCTAATTTCGTCCGTCCTCATGTCTGTATACTTTATGATGATTGTTTGTGTTTTTTTTTTGTTTCTTTCGTGTTTCTATTTATCCCACGTCATACCATCTTATTCAATATTTACCAACACGTTTTCATCCCACTTTGTAATTTAATATTATGTAAATAGCTATTATATATATATATCCCTCTATACTTGTAATTCAATATTGTCTGATGATGTCTTGAGAGTCATGACGAAACGTTACACTTTTAAATAAATATTTCTTTTTATGCATTAAATGGCTCTTTTAAAAGCACTTTGCTAGGCTTTGATATTTATATTTAAAGTTCGCTTTCCGCCCGGTATATCCCTTGTCACAATTATGCAGTATGTTTTCAAAAATACAATTGCGGTAATTCATTGCTTACACTGTTTCATGGTGGATTCCTGCGATAGTGGGCTGACTCTGGAGACAGAACTGCTAACTAATTAACTTATTTTGTAACTACAGATAGCCTTTCTTTTAATTCTGCTCAAAGAGAGTATAATTCAACTGGATAAATACTATAGCTACTTTATGTGTTTCTCCTTGGAATAGCTACTAAGGGATTTTACGTAAAATTATAAACAGAGCTTATTAGTTTTTGCCAATAAACAATGATATTCGTAATAATGTTTTACGTATGTTTTAATGTTTTTTAAAGCTAAATATTAATGATTGCAAAAAGTGTTTGATACGTATAAAATATAAAGCTTCCTAATGATTTTCTTTGTGGCTGCACCAATTTACCTAATATGTGACGGGCATTTTTCGTTTTCGTCACGCTGAAAAAAATCAAAACTGCATACAATACAAATCTATAGTAATGGTGATCAATTAACTTCAGTGCCTTGTATGACGTAAAAAGCGCTTTCGTACTCAGACTCTTTTCTCCCGGCCATGATTAAAAATCCCAACATTTTGCATATTTTGAACCAATCATCTCTTAAAGTACAAAAGTTTTCTATCGATCAACTATATTATTTGAAATGTTTTTTGACAGACCACCTTTGGTGAAAAAATGGTAAATATACACATTACAGAATATCCTATATTCAGTGTATTGGCACGTACCTTATCTTTCTGGTAAGTACGTCTTTTTTTAACGCCATTTGGTGATATCAGAATCTCACATTCTACAGGCAAGACTTTATCTTCCGAAGGAGCTTGGTAATAAAACTGAAACAAACAATAATTATAGACATATTCAAAATAGTTTTAAGAGCAGGAAATAGTATTAGTAAGATGATACCATTTTCACAAGAATATTCATAACACCAAAATCAGGAACACGCTCAAGAACATACAAAAACGAGATTTTCGCGTTGTCTGCATTTGCTTGTTCAGTTTTGAACTGTTGGAGTTGTGTCTTCAA